AAGTAAAATTTTGTGTACTGAAGACGGCATATAGCACCACCTATAATTACACGCATAAATGATGGTAGTTTCTGCAGCATATGTACCAAACTTTCAGCATTTACTATAACACGTTAGGAGAAAGCTTGTAGAATTATGTAAAGTTGCTTAATTAAATTTTCATTTGCTCCAGTAATTTTAGAAGAACAGTAAAAAAATATCCTAGCAGTATTACGATCATTGGTATTACCACTTACTTGTTTTGGTTTGTTGACAATTAACCCTAGCTGCTCACAATAATGTTTCTGTACCAAGGTCTTATTCTCTTTCTTTTGTTGTTTCTTTTTGTCACTTTTAGCTGACCACGTTTGGAAAGACAGGTTGTAGGAAATACCCAATCATTTCCATACACCGAACCCAGGCATGTAATGTCGCCAGTCCGTATTGATTTTAAACTTTCATTTTCGGGCCCAACAGACACTTTAGTCAAATCGTTCATTTGTCTTGGAGTAGCTCTACATATTGTACATGTATACGCAGAAGGTGTATCCGTTAATACCTGAACCACTTTTCTATCTATTATTCTTAAAAAAAGATCAGTTTCACTTCTATTCTTTTACAACATTTGTTAATTATAGATGGCCGTAAAGGGTATATTTGGCTTTTTAATTTATCTGCAACAACCAATAGTAACACCAATAAAAGAATGCATGTCCATCAAAATTAATTCTCAATATAAAATTGACAAAATAACTTACGCAAAACTATTGTTGTCAACAGATATTGTCTGAAACCACGTTTAAAGCGGTTTTCTGACTTTCAACATATTTTTTATCTATGATTTTGGAAACCGCACTTACCCGCACCTGACTTTTAATAAATCAAATTTATAGACACCAAAGCTACAAATCAATTTTTTAACTGAAGCGTGGGGAACCGTGGATGACTGCTAAAAGTATCGGTGAACTTTAAGAACTTTTATTTTCTAGCATATTTTATAATTAAATTAGTTATTAGTAAAAAAACCATAATCAAAAATATGAGTTTATTTTAAAATTTCCATAACATTATGCTTTCATAAAAGTATAATACTTTATACTTATAAAAAGATTTAAAGAAAATTACTTTTAAAGTGATGAAGAAAACAAGTTTCAATTAAACAGTTACAAAAATACGAAACAGTAGGGCTTCAAAAATTATCTTTTTACATAAAATTAGCTGAAATCTCTTTTATTAAAACATTTTTATTAAAAATTAACTATTAAAAAAAAATTTTAATACAATTTCTGTAGTGAAATTTAAACTTGAGCAAAAATCATTAATGCAACGCAAAAATGAAAAAACTACATAGATGATTTGGGTTTTACTTAAATCTACAATAAGATTAACAAAATTAGCATTTGTCTGAATCAAATTTCACTCGCAGACTTTTTTTGCTTCTCTGTTTTGAAATAAAGAAGCAAAATCAATCCAGTCTTGATGAACAATAAAATAAAAAGACTTTATATTTTATTGTAAAGAGATGAAGTATAGTAAGATTAGATAGCATAAAAGAATAATTAGAATATTTAAACCTGGTTCTGCAACAAATAAAAAATTACTTCAGGTGGCTCTGTGAATGAGAGAGTAATAAACGTTAAGATTTAAAAACAGTACCACAAAGTTTCAATTATTCTCGTAGAGTAAGTCAAAAGAATTTTTTTTAGAAATAAAGCATTACAGGAGTATGTTCAAAGACCACAAAACATTAATTTAAACAATTGGATGAATATAATTGCGCTTAAAGACCCGGAACCATTCCGGGTCTTTAAGCGCTTAAATGGTTACGGGTCTAAAGCGCCTCAAGACCCGGAACCACTTCGGGTCTTTAAGCGCATACTATTTTAATGACTTCAGGGGAAAAAATTTTAAGATAAATTCGTTTGCAACAAAAATTTGTAAGCGATAAGATTTTTATTTCTTGAATTGCAAACATTATAAGACAAGCGTTACAGAATTTAGGCTAACTTAACACGCGGCGGAATAACAAATCCTGGGGCGCGCAAATTTAAATTAAATTAAACAATAATAAAACAGTCAAATCTTACAAGAAATTCTGCTGAATCACTAACATATTTTGTCAAGAAAAAGAAATCATTAAATTATCTTAAGGTGGTAGTATGGTCAAAGTTCTAAAATCGTTTTTTTTTAACCAAACAGTATTGATTTTTTCATAAAATATTAAAAGACTGCATAAAAACATAAAATTTCACATTTGGACCCAGGTTTTGGGTCGCAAAACCTAAAAAAGTCAAAAGGCACTGCGATAAATATTGAGACAAAGGTAGATGCTATAAAACTTAAACCTTCAGTGTTTACTTGTATTATATTAAAGAACTCATGGAAGCAAAATTATAAAGTAAGCTTAAAGCACCAAGGAGATTCAGCATATACAACTAGTGGGTCAAATTTTACCCCTAAATAGCCTCCTTTAAAAGTCCATAACTCTGTCAAAATACAATATCAAAAAAATATACTGCTTCAATGAGTTTATCATATATATTATTACAACTGTACAAAATTTTAAAGAACGATAACAAGTAGTTCCCAAGTTATTTATTGCACAGTGCTAAAAAATGTCGTTCTGAGAAAACAACACTTTAAAAAAATTAACCTCAAAAAAAAACAAATTAAAATATAAAATAAGTTCTCATTCTATTTTTCTCATTCTATTTCGACATTACTTTACCTCATCAGTCAATTTTTTTTTTTATTGCAATATTTTTCAATTATTTGACTACTCAGTGTAGTTAAGGCATTTTTAAAATATTTTAGCGTCTGTATGATATTTTGTTGATTATGACATATTTCCGTGTCTGTGAATTATGAAAAGATCTGAGGTCTGTGAATTATGAAAAGACGAAAAAAAATAAAATAATAATTTTTGCGGTATCATAAAATATAAAAGTTTGTAGCGAAAAAACCCAGACCGTGGAATATTTTTTTTTTTTTTAAATCATCTTAAAATCACAATCGCTCGTCCAAATTTAAGATTTTATATTAAGACGTTTTTTAGGTAAAATGAACATTATAGCTTAACATTATGATCTGTTCTGATCGTTTATTGGCAATTATTTATAATTATAAGCTCTTTCTTGGTCGGAATTCCAGTATTTTTTGTGAAAATTGATAGAAATATTATGTTTTGACAACTATTAATAGTTAATATACGTCAGAACCGGTTAGAACTAGGATCAGTATTAAATTAAGTAACTTTTAAAAAAGATTTTAACTAAATTCATGTTAATGCCGATGAGCGGAATTGATCTAAAGACTCCAAAATAGTGTTCTTTAGATACATTATTACGGGTTGTTAAAAGATTTTGAAAATTATATATAAAAAAGAAAAGTTTCTTCAAATATTATAAAAATTTTAAGCAAAAAAAATTATAACATTTAAAGATCTTGTTTGGGCTTAATATGCTGACAAAACTATGCTAATTCCAAATAAAATTATTCAAATATTTTGTAAAAATATTTAATTACTTAACTACATTAACTACACCTTAACTACACCGAGTACCTCTTTGTTTGCAAAATGTAATACAGTTTTTGTTAAGATTTATACCAAGCTCTAAATAAACATTTAACAAACCAGCTAATCCTTCATTGAATTTAATAACAGCTGATGCTGCACTTATCTCTAAAGCAATTTGCCCCACACAAACATTTTTTGGACTCCGATTTTAAATTATTGCATTTAAGGCTTCATTATTGTTTCGAGTTTTTCCATGAAGGCACTTTTTTAACAAACTTTTATCTGATAATCTATGAATACTGGTTATGTCACTGATAACAATAGGCAGTCCAGGTTTTTCTTTATAAACATTTGTTATATCAATTTTATATCCTTTATATTTGCAAATAATTTGAGGACACATAGCAGGTATTACATCAGAAGATGATGCCTCAGAGTAATTCAATAATTCAGCTTTAATTCATAAACAGACTCCCCACAACATTGACAAATCACAATTTCAAAATAATTTTGTAATATTGCAACTACTGAATGTAATTTTATATCGAAAAACTTTCCAGAAATTTTACTTGCAAGTGATTTACTAGTATAAAGTTTTGTTTACCATAAAATTTTAATGCAACTCAATAGCAACAAAGAACTTTAACCTATTTTATTTTTATGATCTATATTAATATTGATTGAATTGCTTTCACAGTCAGGGCATGTTCCAACTAAGGTAAGAGTTTGTACAATTATATCAAGATCAATTAAAACAAAGTTAGACTCCTTTTTTATGACTTTGAGGTAGTAAAATAGGTTCATTATTGGCAATAACATTGCTGGTTGATGTTGTAAAATGTTAAAGTTTTAGCATTTCTGTCAATACTTGACAATGACAATGACAATACTTGGCTCGCAAAAGTATCTTTATTTTGGGAAAAAATTGCCAAACTTGATTTTTTGAAGTGCTTTTTCTTTTTTTAAACACTCTTGAGGCACCAGTTTTTCTTCTTCTTAAAGCTTCAGTTTTCATATCAATTGATTAGAAATAATAAATTTATTTTAATCTACACTAAATAATTTATAAAACAACAATAAACAATCATACTCTAGCTATATTCAACATTAGTTACTGAAATAGATAACATGTGTTTATGTAATGATAGTATACAAGATAACTGCTTATATAAGTGCTGGTTTTTATGTTTTTACGGCAAAAGAAGAAGCCGAACTCACTTAGTAATTTCTCAAAACTTACTATAGAAAATACTTGCTTCAGGGAGTTCAATAAGATGATATACATGGTGTTTACCTTGTTGCTATGCCGTTGCTAAGAAGCAATATTATATAGTACTACTTTTTATATAAAAAATAGACGGTTTTAAATAGAATACATCAAAAAATAAATAACACTATCGTTTTCAGCATGAATGAAAATGTCTAAAAAAGTTATAATCAAAAAATTGGAAGTTTTTGACCATACTACCACCTTAATAAGCGAGGTGCTTTTAGATATTTTTTTTTTTTAAAGAATACGCGTTTTTTCAACTCTTTTAAATCTTTTAAATAAAATTTAAGTGAATCCAATTATTACAACATTCTTCTATTACCGTGGCGGGTCACCTCTTCCGTCTTACTGGCGTGGCGGGTCACCTCCGAAGTTATAGCCACCGGGACGGAGCTCTTCAGGTATCGGTTCATATTCGATTTCGCGACGATCAAATAGATTTTTACTATAGAAAAATGATAAATACAAGTAATATATCAATGCTATCTTGAAAATTGAAATAAAAAAATTTAACTTCAATTCTATAAATTTTTGTTTGACTTGAGTCCTCGAAAAGTATGAGAACAAAAACAGATGTTATTTAGGACAGAAATCATTTAAGAATTAACATTAATTCAAATTGTTATTAGAAATTCTGATTACATAAAATCAGGAGCTTGCAGTATTCGGAATCCTCCGGGTTTCGTAGGGAAAACATCTTCTAATACATAATAAACATGCCCAACGGCAATACCTGTAAGAAAAAAACTAGAGAAAACCAATAAATAAAAATTTTTTAAAAAAAATTTCGAAAAATATTTAATCCATTGAGTGAAACTTATTAAAGAAGAATACCTATTAAATCAACAACTATAGAGTTTCCGAGCATCAATGAAAACCCTAGAAGCACCCAAGGTAAATATGGCGCTTGAAAGTTCATTAGGCCAAAGAAATTCATTCGGACATAAGGATTTCTTCTACTCCAAATGTAGACTAACATTATTGTAAACGCCTGGCCCAAAAATACAAGGTTTACAAAGAGAGCAATGCACTTGAATTTGAGTTAAGGAGACGTCTTATATAACATAAGTTATAAAATATAACATAAGTTATAAGATATATATAACATAAGTTATAAGATAAGTTAATACATTCACACACACGCACAAAATAAAAATATGGTTTATATGTTTTACACCAATTAAAGATAAATTTTTTTTTTATGCTAATTGTTTTATGATAATTTATGATTATTACAACTAGTTTATGCTAATCATCGCTTAAAATAGGTTTAAAATATTATTTTTATCTAAAAAAAAATTATCTATTGGATTATATTTTAAATCTAAATTAAAAATAATCTGAAAAATTGATAGGAAATTTTGTTAGCTACAAACTAAAGTTTTGATGGCAATTAACAAAAATTAACTTTTTCAACGTGCAAATCTTTAAACTGAGATATCTTTCGTGATTTTTTTCGTGATTATTCTTAACTGATGCCTTTTATCTCCCCCTAATATTTGCCTTTGGGTTGAGAACCTTTTGGGTTGAGAAGAGCTAAAAAGCTATTATTCCTTTTTTTTTTTTTTTTTTTTCAAGTTTCAAGTGAAGGAAACTATGGATATCAATATAAACAATTCATTGCAAAGTGAGTATTTACTAAGGTTAACCCTTTATCTTGCTCACCGTTTCTTTACTTATAATACCATTTATTACCTCTATAAATCACTTATTTTTTCCTGTATGAAATATTGTTGTCATATTTGGGCTGGTTTTTTGATCCCTTTTCTTTTCTAGACAAGGTAAAAAAACGTGTTATATATGTAGTCGGACCTGCTCTAGCTGCCAAGTTTGAGCTTATATCGCATTGTTATAAGGTTGCATCTCTTTCTCTTTTCTATAAATACTATTGTCTGCTGTTCAAATGAGCTATTATCTCTTGCTCCATCAACCAAAACTCACGTCACATGTCATTCAGCGAAGTCACATTTTTTTAATGTAACTACCCTTTTTAGTCTCGTAAATAGAAACTTTAAAAGTGTTTAAGTGGAAACTAAATCATACAGAAGTGATTGTTAGCCTCGAAGTCTTTAATAACCTTCTATAATTAAAAGCTAAACCCCACCTGCATAACCCTTGACCTTTTTTCACAATTTGATTCCAGAGTGATGTACCAAATACAAAAAAAAATTAAAAATATAAGGTTTTCTTAATAAATATTGAAACAAAACTTGCAACTAAATTGAAATAATAGCTTTTCAGTTATTAATTATGTCATATATATATATTTTTTGTCAAAGATAAACTTTGATTAACAACAAAGCAATTTTTTATAAAAAAAAAACGCAAAGAGGTAGGATGGCGGTCTAAAAAAAAATTTAAATAGTAGATAGCCAAAATTACCTAAATTAGGTCCTTGAAAAAGTCTAACATATTTTTTTTCTTGATTTGCTTTCAAGGTTAAATAAAATGTGACTATAATTTAAGGTGGTTATATGGTAAAAAAAATATTTTTTGATTTCTAACTTTTTCTACATACCAAAATTAGTAGCAAGGCTAAATAATGCTTAATTTAGTTTAAAATGCTGAAAGAAATTTTTCTCATCTTTTTTTATGCTGATTCAGCATTAAATCAATAAAGAAGAAAAATCAATAAAAAAGAAAACTACATTTTCTCAACTTTTTTTGACATAACAAGCTAAAACTTACCGCACTGATGTATTTTTTTTTTTTTTTTTTTTAACATCGCTTCCAACAAGGCTGCAAGCAACCACTAATTAGAGTTGGAAGTTACTGGAAGAGAAAAAATGAAGATTGTAGAGCAAGATAACGATTGACAGACAACTTAAAAGATTGCAAATTTTTAATTAGGAAAGCAAGATAAAGGAAGCGAATTCCAAAAAACTGATGTTCAAGGAAAAAAAGTAGACAAGAGTTTTTGGAGCACTTAGGAACAGTTACAGAAAAAGGATGAGACTTAATTGAATGACAAGTAACATGAGAGTGAATTTTAGTAGACGGTACAAGAAACGTTAGCTCTTTAGAGCAGTGCCCATTATAGTATTTGAAGGTTTGCTGCAAGAACAGGTCCAACTATGGTTACAATGTGTTTTTGCACCTTGTCTAAAAGAGAAAGGGCATCATTAGAAGATCCGCCCCAGATATGGCAACAGTATTCCATACAAGGCCGGATTTGAGATTTATAGAGATAGAGAATAGATACCAGAGTAAGAAAGTATCGAGCTCGATAAAGAGATGCAACTTTAGCAGATGCTAATTTTGCAACTGATTTAATATATGGTTTCCAAGAAAGATCAGAAGTAAGAGTTAATCCTAGAAGATAAAGGGAAGATGACTCATCAAGTACATTACTGTTCATAAATATAGGAAGATCTAAATTATTGTGATAACGATTGGCTGAAAAAAAAATTGAGTTTCATCTGAATTAAAGTTCACCAGCCACTGTGAACCTCATGTTGTAGCAGAAATGAGATCCTTTTCAAGCTCAGATGCCACCTGCAAGCAATCAGAGGGAGTTGGCTTCTTATCATGACAAGAATAAATGGTAGTATCATCAGCGAACAATGCCACCTTAGATGTGAGAAAATCTCAAAGATCGTTAATGTAAATTTAAAAGAGTATAGGGCCAAGGATTGAACCTTGAGGAACCCCTGAGGTTACAGAATAAGAAGAAGAGTGCTGTCCATCAATGACACCTTTTATACTACGATTGGAAAGGAAGAATTCAATAATCTTAAAGATGTTACCAGATACACAGTAAGAAGAAAGCTTATAGAGAAGACCAACATGCCAAACTTTATCAAACGCTTTAGAAATGTCAAGAGCGATGGCCTTAACCTCTTCACGATTATATAATGCACGATAAAACCTATCGGTTATTACTGTTAGCAAATCAGTCGTATTACAAGAAGATCGAAATCCATATTGATGATCAGAAAGTAAGTTATTAGATTCAAGATGAGAGATTAAGTGTTTGTTAATTAAAGATTCAAAAGCCCTGGTTATGATAGGAAGAAGACTAATGGGATGGTAGTTCGACGAATCGGATCACTTTCCAGAATTTTTAAAAATAGGGATAACAGATGGAAAACAAGACTCTGATAAGCACTTTTTTAATGGTTTTGAAAAGATACACGACAGCTCGGAAGAACACTTTTGCAAGACTATAACAGGAATATTGTCCAGGCCGCAAGCTGTAGAAGAGTCTAAGCAGGAAACTACTTTAGATACAGAAGCTGGAGTGATACGAATGTCAAGCAATTTATCAACCTGTTTTAAAGCTATATCAGGTAGAAAATAACTAGTGAAATCAAGAGATGACATTGATGAAAAGTTCTTAGCAAACAATTCAGCTTTGTCTGTGGTGACTAAGTCTGACAGGTGAGGTGACAAAGCCTGAACCATACAAAAGAGGTGGAATTACAGACTTACCCTTATTATTGATACTATTAAAGATTCTCCAGAAGTCACAAGAGCCTAATTTTTAGGATGAAATACGAGATTTCATGACCTGAGAATAGCGAGCTTTGGCATTATTCAAAACCTTTTTATAATGGTTCCTAGTAGTAATAAACAGACGTCCATTTTCTAGAGAATTGTTTTGTTGATAGATATGAAAGTAATGGTGAATAAAGAAATTCAATTGGCAATTGCAGCAGCACAATGCGAGAAAAACTATGGGGAAGAGTGAGGCTTGACCTGGAATCGTTGAAAAGGAATAAAGGATTCCATGCAAGCCTGAATCCACGAAGTTATGTAAGAAGCACATTTGTCAACAGAAAGACAAAAGATTTCTACCCAAGGTCCATCACGAAGAAAATCACGGAAAGAGTCCCAGTCAGCTTTAAGGTAGTTGTAAGATGTATGATGATTCAGAACTATTATATCGTTCTTCTTTATTATCAGAATCCCCCTATTCTGATGATAAGAACGATATAATAGTTTTAGAGAGATGAAACTGTGATCAGAGGCATGTGGAGAAACTGAGCACTGACTAGGATCAGAAACAACACATAAGTCGAGTAGTGAAGGTAAATGATTCTGTATGTCTGGAAAGCGAGTTGGAAAGTTGACTATTTGAGTTAGGGATTGAGAAAGGCAAAAGTGTGGGTTTTAATGCCTGTGGAGTCACTAGAGCCAAGCCATTCAGTGTGATGAACATTAAAGTCACCAACAACAACAATATTGGCAGATGGATAAAGAATGAGGGCTCGGTCAATATGATCAGAAATAGTATCAAGAAGAGTGCAGTCTTGAGACGAAGGAGAGCGATATAGAACAAAGAGAAAGGTGATAGAATGAAGTGGTGCTAAACGAAAGCACATAAAAGAGTAGTCTGTGGATTCAAACCTAGTTTCCCGACAAATGGGTGAATTCTTACGAATGTAAATGCCTAGGCCAAGCATGTGACTATTGGAGTCTTAACGAATTAAAGGAAGATAACCATTAACACTAAGATCATAAGATGAGACAGCTGAACTCAAATTAGTCTCACAAAGAGCAAGGTCTGGTGAACTTTGCAAGAGATAAGACTAAACAGAAGAAAAGTTACTTCGAAGACCACAAATATTGGTGAATGATAGGTTTAGCAAACTTGGTGATGACTGTGGTTTTTTGTATTATAATGTAATAAACAAAACCTTACTAGAAAAACTTAAAATAATAATTATTTTCAAAATGACAACACTTTTAATTTTAAAGGATATTTTTGATGCAAAAATCTTTAGTAAAATAAAAATATATTCAAAAGGAAACAAGTTTAAGGTTAGTTCTAGTAAGGTATTGCAGTTTTATCGATAAAGAAACAACTCTGAAAATTTGAAGTTAATTGCATATCTGGTTAAAAAGATATGAATGATTTGCAGTTCGCAGTCAGACAAAAAAATACAATTGAGAAATCAAGCTTCAAAGTTAAAAACAATATATTTATTAAAAACTCATACACTCATTTTAACTAACAACATTATCAGATTTACAACTTTTTTTTTAGTTTTAAAGTAGTTTACAGACCCGTAGGAACAAAAATTATAT